AAGTCAGATTTTCCGATATTATTTTGTTTTTTTGCCTATAGCTCCTGAAAGGTTCATCGAAGCATAAATCGTAAATACAAGTCGATATTAATTTTTTTTTTTTTCAAATTACATTTATTTCGTAGGATATATACTATCAGCCACGATGTTCAGAAAAATCACAAAGGTACAGAACATGAAGTGTTACAAATACAATTGTTCATACTTTTCAACATAATTTGGATATTATGTGTATATTTGAAAAAATATATACCTATATTGCAATTTATGTCAAAATACATATTTTTATAGCAATAGATTTTAAAAGTTTATTGATGAAAATTGGCATCAATATAAACGTAAAAATATTTTAATTATTATCGTATATCAATTGCCCTTATTATTACACTAATTGTCGTTCAAAACCACCTATGATCTTGAAAAGTGCTTTGAAAAATGGAAAATCAAAATAAATAGTAATAAATCCAACCATGTTAGTTTCTCTCTTAGTAAAGCATCATATCCACTCATAACGACTGCTAATAACCCAGTGCCTTCAAAGAACTAACTATGTACGGTACCTTAGACTCTACTTAGACAAAAGATTTACTTGAAACATACATACTAAATTAAAATACAACAGCTTACTAGACAATATATCCAACTCTCACATCTTCTGGACTAAAGATCTTCACTGAACTTACGAAATATGCGACTGATCTACAACACCTTTATGATCCCAATATGGATGTATGGAGCAGAACTTTGGAGTTCGGCAAAACAAACACACATAAACAAACTTCAAACATCACAATAAAAAATGTTACGATAAATTGTTAACACATCTTGGTACATTTCAAATAATACTATACATAACGACTTAAACACCCCAACAGTAAAATCCTACCTCAACGACAAAGACACTACAATTCATTCTTCAACCCAAAATCACTCCAATCCTCTGGTTCCTTCTATTTCCTGCTCCCTGTTCCCTGTGCAGATTAAGAAGAAAATGGCCAAGAGACCTACTATATCGATAAAAACAAAATCTAGCTAATATACGAAAATAGTATAAATATAACAAATTTGCTAAATGCCGCGCAGGTGCAAATTGCATAGAATATAAATAAATAAATATATAAATCATTGTCGATATAAATCATAAACCTTATTATACTACTAAGATTGTTTTTTATTTTATTTTATTTTTATTTAGACATATAATATTCTGTCACAAGGACAATAATTATATTGATAAATGAACACATTCACACCGTATATACTATTTATTTATTAACCAAACAAAAATGTGGAACATTAGATTAAATTTGCAATCTGTGAATTTCTTTGCAATAAGCAAATTTTTTAGCAGCTTCACAGCTTCCCATCACGTCCGGGATATAAATCAAGTCAGCAGGTTTCTTGTACAATGAAGGATTTCTATCAGAGGATTCATGTTGTACGTCAATCTTTGGTGAAAGTTATTGTAGTTCACTTTTGCAGTATCTAAAATTGTAGGTACGTTTAAGTCTTTATGTAGTGTGTCATTTGCGACATAAAAAGGTGCATCAACTATCCTTCGCAACACTTTTGACTGAAAGGACTGAACTTTTTTAAAGTTGGAAGTTTTAGCAGAGCCCCACAGTTCTATGCCGTAAGTCCAAATAGGTTTAAGTAAGACTTTATAAAGGGTTAATTTGTTAGTTAAAGATAATTTTGAACGTCTGTCAAGTAATCTGGATAAGAGACCGTATCGTCTGTTTAATTCTATTCGTTTTTGTCTGATGTGAGTCTTCCAAGTAAGTCTTTTGTCCAGGTAAAAACCTAAATACCTAATTACATCTGATGTTGGGATTTGAATGTTATTAAAATATATTTCAGGAGAAGGTTTATGGTTAAGAGTGAATACCACATGCACACTTTTTTTTTCATTCATCTTAATTTTCCACCTTGTTGCCCAGTCTGCAATATCGTTCAGATGATTTTGAAGGATGGTAGATGCTCGAACAGGATTTTTATCTGAGCTTAGTACGGCGGTATCGTCTGCAAAAGTAGCCAGTATTGTGTCGTTGTGTTCCGGTAGGTCAGACATATATATATTAAACAATATTGGTCCAAGGACACTACCCTGAGGCACTCCTGCTTTAATAGGTTTGATGTCAGAACGTTCTGACCCTACTTTTACTACAAAATGTCTATCCGTTAGATATGAAAGTAATATTAGATAGTAGGTCGGAGGAAGTAAAATTTTAAGTTTGGAGAGCAATCCTTCATGCCAAACTTTATCAAAGGCTATATACAAAAAAAAAAACCGTATATACAAAAAAAAAAAAAAATTAACAAAAGTAAAATAATAACTAAATAATAGTAAATAAAAACTATATATAATAAAAAAAATATAAAATAACCCAGATACAAGTAAATTAAAAACATAAAAACAGTCACACCTATATACAATATATACAATCTACTAAGATTGAAAGCTTAAATATGGTTCTCATTAACATTTTCACCAAAATTAATTTTCATTTTTATTATTTCTCTTTGACCTTTAACGAAACTTTGAGATATATTTATGAAGACACCACTACTTGAGACCTGTATATTTACAACTCCAACAGCCCTCAGGTAATGTAAGGTTGCGGATGAAAATTCAGAGGGCATGGTTTCTAAACTATAACGTCGTTGTACAAGCGGAGCAATTTATTCTTCGGCGTGGAAAGGTCAATCAGATTGGGCGAGATGAGGGTACCTCAAACAAAAGTGACATTTCACACGATCGAGGGCGTACGAGGTTAAGAGGTTTGGTCCCCGCGTCCTCTTCTCTTGGGCAACTCCGGTGGGCGGCGGCTCTTGTGAAATTCCTCTCCGGCGGGGGCAGAGATAAGGGTGTACCTACCCCTCATGTTCGGTGACCGTCGGCATCGTCGGATCCTGGTACGTACTGTAACACGTACCGTATCACTGCATTGATGTCCATCCGCTCAACCGTATATGCTTGGGGTGCCCACTCAGCTGTTTCGTAATCTTGCCTTCTTCACAATTGGCCAGTATTGATATATACGTTTTCGATAATGGCTTAACAAAGATAATGTGTATTCAACTTAATAAATGCTTACCACGATTTCGACCATAATCATTGAAAATTTAAGGAAAACTTATGAATTCGCATGTTTCCGAAATTTTTATTTTACTCCTATACATACGTTTATTGTATATCAGAGACGATATACTGTTATATGTACTTTCATTATAAAACAGTTCAGTAACATTTGTGTAGTTATTGATTTATTCCCAAATAAAATACTGAATCTACCGTTCTTTGCCTAAATTAAAAGGACTTCAAGGAGAAGGAAACATTCATTAAAATCGTTGCAGTCGTTTTTGGCTCGACACTATAAAACGACAATCGTTTTTCTGCAGCTATTTCCAAACGAATGGTAATTAAACGTACTCAAAAACACATCTGAATTTGAGTGGATCGTTGTTTAAATTTTTTAAAATAATTGGTGATGTACATCCGGAGAATAGCAGTTTTGAACAGATTGATATTTTAAATCTTAACCATATAGATTATTTCCCCTCGCGTGAGCTCATTATATCGTATGTGAAGCGTCCCACGGGTGGCGGATGTGAGAATGGTCAGAGGAAATTCCTTAGAAGTTCCTCCCGCCTAAGTCCGATCCAGACTTCCTGGAGGCAAGGGCCCACCAGACTTTCTGGAGGGTGTGACGCAGGATTGAACGCCCTACTCAAATATCTTTAGTTCACCATACACCACAAATAGCGATGGATCTCTCTAAGGTAAAACGCTCATTATCCAGAAGTAAACTAGTCCCCCGTTGGGGTCTCCGGGTGGGGACTGCTTTAGGGGATTCATGGCGCAAGTTGAAATATAGGGATTTAAATATTGGTACGTGAAACGTAAGGAGTTTAAACACAGCAGGGGGCTAAAATCGGTCACTAATGAGGTTAATGGGTACAATTTGGATGTCGTGGCTCTGCAAGAAGTTCAATGGCCAGATGAGGGATTGATGAGGGAAGGAAAGTACACTATTTGCTATGGAGGAAGCGGGAATCATTGTTTAGGTACCGGGTTTCTAATGAGGAATAGATTGCTATCGGCTTTGAGGGACGTACAATTCTTTAGTGGTTTAAAATCGCATTAATAAACATATATTGTATGACCAAAGACAGCGACGATTAGGTCAAATGTGAATTTTACGACAAAATCGAATGGGTTTATGATAAACTACCGCGAAGCTCCATGAAAATAATTTTAGGTGACGCAAATGCAAAGGTGGAAAGGGAAGATGTTTATGTTCCGACGAGTGGTAAAGAACGTTTGCACGAATATAGTAATGATAATGGGATCCGTCTGATAAACTTTGCCATCTCCTGATAATTAAAAGTACTACGTTTAAACATAAGGGCATTTATAAATATACATGGACATCACCGGTTTTTCAAACATGAAATCAAATCGATCACGTCTTGATACGACATAGCAGTATAATTAACGTACGGTCTTATCGCGGATCAGAATGTGGGTCGGATCATAAATTAGTTAATGAAGTAGACATAAAAGTTAGATCATAAACTTCGACAAAAACCTTATATAAAAAAAAGAAACGAAAACCGTTTCGATTTTGTGAATTTTAATTTGTAAAAATTAAAAAATCCATCAATTAGAACCTAATTCGAGTTTCATGTTAAGGATAGGTTTGAAGCTTTAGAGCTCTCCGAGCTCGCATTGTTGAACAGTTGAGTGATGTCTTCAAAAACCGAATTGCTGATTTGGAATAAATTTAAATGTGTAAGGCGACAAAGGGATATTTATTCAAATAATTTAGAAAATTAAATAAGAAGGCTCATCAGACGATAAGAATTTAGAGATTCTGAGGAGTTGTTAGCTTTTGTTTTTCTATGTATATGAATATAAAAATATTTACTAATTCTTTATTAATTGAACATAAATTGATTTATAGATACAATGTTATATATAGCGATCTTCATTAGTCCTAATTGGTCTCGTACTTCTTCCTGTAAATGCCTTGGGGGTCATATATCTTTTCTAGGACGTCATAGTCGGCTTGCTTCTTCTCCAACAAGAACTTCAGTACCTTATCGCTGCCTTTCTTCTGGCGGTCTGAACATTTGGCACATTCCGTTTCCAGAGCATCCGGGAGTACCTCTGAAATATGATATTTATTTAAAGTACATTATGCATTTTCGTATATTAAAAATATTTTAAATGAGAAACAAATTAAAATATGCAAATTATAATTATAAGGCTAACAAATTAATAATTTTTTAAATGCAAAAATCGTTTTATGGCTAACAGTAAATTTGGGTTAGGGGTCCATTCACTGGATGTAATGCCGATTCACTGAAGTATATTAACAATGTAGCCTACCTGATATTGCATAATTAAAAGTTAGTACTCGTAAGGTATGCAGCATTGTATACCTGATGCGCCAAATAGAGTCGAAGAAAAGAAACATTTCAGGATTTGTTGTATTATATCTGTTACATTTTTAAGATTATTCGTTTTATTACATATATTCAAAATAGTTGAAATTGATTTATTAATGCAAATTGGAACAGAATAACCATTTATTAGTTTACTACACACAACTGTATTATTTTCCCCTACCGATTGAGTTTGTTACAACACTGACTTTTCCAATGGCCACAATATCTTTTCATTTCACAATATTTCGTTAAAACAACTACATTAGTATTTGATTCATTGATTTGTATGGCCATAACTCAAAGAATTATTTTCATTATTATTTACTTATATATTTTTATATTATAGCAAAACATGTTTTGTTTTTTTTAATAGCCAAAGAGTAGGTCCAATATTATATTATAACTAATCCTAAACGAGCGTTAAATCCCAGGATAAATTCGTTTGTTTAAATTTTTGAACTTTATTTGTTTTAACTACTCAAATTTGCTATGGCGTTTGATATATACTTGTAATTTTTGTACAAGTAATTGCACTCTATGTCTTAATATAAAATAACCCTTTTATTAATAAAGTCAAATTTCTCAAGAAATAATAAAGTGATTTGCTAATTTTGATCTAGAGTGTATTACAGGTGTTTAAGAAACAAAATTTGAAAATGTATACAACTAAAATAAGTGGCAGTTGAAAAAAGAATATCATTTTATTTTTTTTTAAATTAAATTTTTTTTAGTTACGAAATTATTTAATAAAATAATGAACTTAGTGTCCTTTACCTCCGGGACATATATGACTACTAAAAAAAAAAAAAAAAAAATAAAATAAAATACCACTACAACCCATGAAGGGTCTTGGGTTCAGTACTATTTAGGAAAAGTACTGTTTCAATGCCAACGGTTTTGCAAGGAGACGATTTGAACGAGATCACGCTCAACCACCAGGTTTTTCCCCTTAATCAATTATTTTAATTAAGGGTACCACTTACTTTATATAGGCTGGGTGTGCCCCAGAAGGATCTCCTACTCAAGGTCGCTCCAAGGCCAATGAAACAGAATAAATAATTTTTCTGCCATGAGCCAGGATTCGAAGCTGGGACATTTAGCATTGGGAGCTTAGTACCCTACCATTGAGGCACTCCACTCCTATATATGACTACTAAAATTTGAATTATTTAAGAAATTAATCAAGATAAACTTTTACCACAACAACCCATGGATTAAGTTAAGGACTAACATGTAATTCAAGGAGTTAATATGATCAATACCCAAGCAAAAATACCAGTATAATTCACTTACTCAGTAAAGGGCCAGGTATCCACTTAGAAGCTGGATGTACCATCGTAGGAGATTCATTCTTAAGATTCACTTTCCGATTCCAAACGATGTTTTCTCTTTTCGTTTAAATATTTTAAAAAATACATTAACTTTTTATTGCCCTATTAGTGTTACTGAACAATGTAGTATATATTATGCCAAATGTTACCCTATACTCATTATCCTATAATAGGTCATTGAGTGATGGTAATTTTCCTCCTAATAAAAATATAGAAATAAAATCAGCTTTACTTTCTTCAATAATTATAAACCATTTCATATTGGTTGATATACACCAACGGCGCACCTATTGGTTAAGTTTGCTTTGGCAGTTAAGGAAGTATCATAGTGCCAATAGCGAATTGTTTGTGCGAGGAAGTCGTTCGGCAGCAATGAGAAGATTTCTATTCTCGAAGGAACCTCACCACGAAGGACTTCGTAGCATGTGGTTATCAATGCCTTTCCGATGAAACTAGCATAAGATATTTAAAATGGCTAGATATAATAGAATATTTTTTAATAAGAACAATGCCATAATTTGTTAACTTTTTTTTATAATTAACAGAAAAAGAAAATAGTTCCAAGTCCCTTTAATTTAATTTATAATTATTTATTTACTTTTACTATATCTCAGATACATTTTAAGTTTTTGTGACCAATCCTCTAAACTTTTTTGTTTGTTTTTTTTGGCTGTCAATCATGGTGATAGAGGTTACCTCCGATTTTATAATAACTCCAATTACCAATTTTACTTCAAGTTATTACAATAGAATACCATGGATATGATTCCTCGAAACAACCAATTAGGTAGGCGGGATTTGTTGTTAAATGTATATCACTTTTTTTAATTTGTATCTTGTTATACTTATATATTTATTGTAATTAAATAACCTTCGAGGGGGGTTAGAAAAAGAAATGTGTATCATAAATATTTAAGCATTATTTTTTCTCATAAATCAACCGTTTCTTTTGCTTAATTTTATGTTTGATACCATATAATGTATCTAAATTAACTTTTTCGTCCTACAAGCTGAACTTGAGTTCTTAAAACAAATTAAATATCTTTATGAATAAAATTATTAATTAATAGATATTCATTTATATATGTGTATATTAACGTAATTTTTTAGAAATATACTTTATTTTTATATTCATTAACATAATTTTGTTGGAATTTCCAATATATATATATATATATTTAATTATTCATATATTATATATGAATAATGAACAAAAATTATGTTCATAAAATCTTTTTCAATAGAGTGTACTTCAAGGCGCTTGAAGTAGGCAAAACCTTGATATCATATACCATGAAAATGAGATATGCATTCACTTCATTTTTCAACTGTAAGATTTTCCAACTATATTTTGGACTGTAAGTTGATACTTTTACACTTTATTTTTAAATAATAAATGAAAAGAAGAATTTTAAATGGAATGAATTGATCAGAATCAAGAGTCTAGAATGAAAAATTAAGATTAAGCCTGGAACCAACTTGATGATTTGTCGCCGCATTCGAAGATGTACCAAATCGTAATGGCAGATTGTAAAAAAAAAAGAAGAAAATAAAGTTTAGAACCCCATATTATTTACTTGTGTAAATTGGTACTTTTTAATTTTCATTTGTTAACAACAAAGTTTAGGAAAATTCTCCCGCTTCCATAAGTTTTTATTTCGAAATTTACTGTTGTCAACATTTTGTTACAGCAAAAGTATCATGACTACCGGATATTATTACTCTCTCTCAAAAACAATTTTTTTTCCATTATATATTTAAGATGAAATGTTCCTGAAATTTTTTCAAGGTTCTAGAAGAAAAGTGAATGGTGTATTAAATGTTCTAAATCCATTAAGAAGGCCTCGTAATTTCTGGGTTACAGAGCTAAGGCGGGTCAGTAACCACAACTCAACTAGGTCCAGGCCTCCTAACTCAAGGTGGCTCTCATCTCCAGCGGAGGGTGACCATCAAGTCCTTCTATGGTAAATACCTAGAGAATAGAAACGTAAAATTCACCTAATTATTCTATCTGATTAGTGGTACGATGTTTTTATTGATTTTTTCTCGGTTGGCGCTATGGAACATATAAATCTTTGGTAGTATGATGTGATCCTCTTACAGTTATATATTGCTTGTAGAGGAGCACAGATGGCCTGGGGGAGTTAACCCAACCTTGCGTTTCTACGAACCATAGATTGTATGGTGCTGCAGAAGGCTGTCCACATCCAAATCTCTTGGGGCAGATAGATCACTTGGTTTCATGAGCAGATTGGTCTAAACCCATGAACTAAGGCAACTCAGATTCAGCTGGCGAACGAATGTATTTCTTTCCCTAAAACATATCATCCCTTGACAAATCTCTGGGAGCAACTGACGTCCTTGAAAACCACACTGCGATTTCCGATTAAAGAGCAAGGGATAGGATCATTACACTTATATCCGATCGGTTTGAGTTGCTACCAATAGGTTGACGGTTCTCACATACCTGAAGAAAGAGGAACCTTGAGCAACATGGATTTTCTCTGTGGACGGTCACTCGATTCGGACGGTAGTAGATATTTCATTAGTAATACTTCCGGACTGATAATCCTTATTAATTTATAAGTACATTTTATTAGAACAGTCATCTGAACAGTAAAGGGTAAAAATGAAATAATAACTCCTGAATTAATGTCAAACAACATTAACGAACTTTTATGTATTAACAACAGGAACATGACATAAATGGTAAATTAAACAAAAATTTCATTCAAAGACAGAAAAAATATTTAAAAATGTATCAATGTATGTAAATAATTTTAGTATTTGAATCACTGAGATGAACCATCAACTGAAAATGATATTTGTTTATGATGATGGAAAGATCATTTTCCAAAATGTAAAACAGAAAGTAACAAAATATAAGCTACAATCAATAGTTATATTTTCCAGCTACACATTTGAAAATAATTTGTCTACCAAATAAAATTTATCTTCCTTCGTTTTCCATTCCAGTGTAACGCTTAATCGCTATTTAAAAATTATCGAAAACAATTCTATACATCTTATTTTTCTTTATTTGTCCTTAGGATAATCGTCATAGTAAAGCATCATTTCTCAAAAAAAAAAAAAAAAAAAAAAGCTGTTTTGAGTAAAGAGCTTTCAGCAAGGACATCTACTTACCACCATAAAATCCTCTTTTCAACCATTGAATCACTTTGACGTCTGTTTACAAGGTGAATTCTCCTTTATGGTTATATTTACTTCCTATTTCATTTGTGTAGAACAGAAGTTTAGTCAAGTTAATGCTCATACCTCTATACATTTATATTAATGAGTAAAGATTACCTCGCTAGTGCTAGTTAATTTACATCAGGTGATCTAATTATTTTAATCTTTGAAGAGTATCAGGTATTACGATAGAATTTTTATGGCTGGTAGAGGCTCCTTAACTAAATAACATTGTACAGAGTATGTAGATGGATCATCCTTTCATACAACATAAAACTTTATTAGGTACATATGGTCAATATTTGGCCAATGATTTTTCTTTTGATTGCCAAAAGTATCAGTTTAAACGCTAAAAAGCAACATGAAGCACGCACAGCATGTTTCTAAAAAAATTGTCGATGATTTGAGTAATTTGAACATCAAGGCAAATCCCAATAAAACAGAGGGCATTATTTTTCTTTTCAAAAAAAGAAGAAGAAGATACCAGTATTATTAAATCTGGTATTTAAATATATTTTATTTAAATATATTAAATATTTTAATATAAAATATTAAAACAAAAAACTGCGAAAACAAATTTCCTAAACACATTGCTTATTTAGAAATTACATTTGTTAGGCATTCGGCCTTTTCAGCACATCTTAGTAAAACAATAAAAAACCTCAGATAGAAAACTCACTAACATATCTATTATATTATACGGACATTTCAATGCGTATAAAGGTTTTAGTATATAAACAATAATACGAACAACAGTACTTTATGGCAGCTCATCGTTATAATTTATAACTAAGTCTACAGAAAAACTTTTACAATTATTTCAAAATGGAATTTTAAGAAATATAGCCAAAGGAACGGCCATATAAAGGATTAAAACGTCAGCACTTCAAGAGGAATTAAAAATAGTAAAAGTAAATGATTTCAAAAATAAAAGGAATTCCAAATTTTAGTAATCAGTGAAAATCATAACCAACCCCGTATTCAACTAACAGTGGAAAAACTTGTTATAAAGTTAGTTTATCTTTAACTTTAGTGTAAGTTAGACACAAAAATAAGGGTGAGTGTAAGCGCCATATTGAAAATAAAGAAAAATATAAATAGACAAGAAATTATGAGAATATAAACCTCCTTAAAATGCAAGATATGCAGTAGAAGAATAACATTTAGACCATAAGAATATGTATCAAAAAATTAAATATGAGGCTATGAAATAGAAATGGAATATAAACTTTATTCTGGGTCTATGTTCCCTTAGAATAACAATAATGTAGAGTTACAAAAGAAGATATACACATGTAGCAAAAAAACTAACTTAATAAAGATTCAAAAAATATAATGCAACAACTTAAATAATAGGGTGTAAACAGCTAAAAAATAAAATAAAATCTTCTCAATTACACTTATGATTGTGCTGGAAAAAAAAAATTAAAAAGAAAAAGCAAAACCTCAAGAAAAGAAAAAATATCTATGTATGTAAGTAAGTAAATAAAAAGTATTCGCTTTTTATGTTAAAACATAAACAGCTAAAATGTATACATAGATTAAAGATATATCAATGACAGAATATGAACAACAGGATCACAATATTGCATTATCCCGGCATAAAATAAGAATAAATAGATAAATACAATTAGGAAGGGGCATTAAATTAATTTTATGATAAAACAATTGCGACAAAAAGAAAAAAAAAACCTAATGAAGAGAAAATAGATTATCTATACATGTTACTTAGGAACTTAGTATGAGAAGTCGCAATGGTATAGTAAACTATAAAGCACACAATATATGGTTGTAAAGTATAACATGTTTTTACATGCTTATGGAAAATTATTAAATGGAATATGATGTATAAAATGTGAAACGTGAGTGAAATTTTTTCATTCAGAGAACATAAATTATTTTCCATTCCTGTATATACTTCAAGTTTTCCCAATTTCATTAGTGAGGACGAAAAAATTCAGGTTTGAGAGGACGAGATTTGATCTTAGCTATTTACAAACAGAGAGGAGTAAATTATGTGTATAACTCGTACTTTTAAATATGGGATAATATTTCTTATTACAAATATTACTTTTAGTAATAAATACTGTCCTGATGAAGTTAAACAGAAGTAGTAGCTAACCCTATTATGCCTTTTATGTGTAATTTGGCTGTTGCTGTTGAATGTTGATGTAGGGAGTGATATGTGCTGGCAGCGTTAGGCCAGTCAACAAAACTGTTATTACACTGTTGATTTGTGACTCATTGCTCAACCAAAGCTCGAAGAATATTCCGTGCTGTTTCGAACTCATTCTGAATGCTGATGTCTTCTGCAAAGTACAGTTGCTAGTCATGGAATGCGTTAGCAGCAGTTAAAGAATGCGTAGGAATGGTGACGACGTATTGGAAAAACAACAGTCATTTTATTCATAGATAACAAATTCTATATCTACTCTCCGAGTTCTAAAGTGCACGCATGACGCTTAACGCTTAACGAATTGGCAAGTTTTTTATTTATTAATAATTCAGATGAATAACAATTGATGTATTTTTCAGTGTTTTTCTAACATGACGTGGAGAGGTGGAAATAATTTTACATTTAATATTTGAAGACATTGATATTCTAATTATAATAATCGAAAAATACAACTCGTAGCGTTTTATTGAAAAACTTCATCGAAGGTATGAAACTATTTAAACCGCTATTAAACATGGAGAGATAATATTTAGTTACACTATATTGAACACATTTAGATGTGCTTGGGAGGTTTTATTATTAAAAAAATATATACTCTGAAATGACAGCATTCAAGAAAGTTTTGTTGGCATTGGGCGACAGTATTTACGACAAAATCAAAATTCAAAGTTAAATATACTTTTTTTAAAGTAATTTAAGGACAACCTGTGTGTGGAAAAAGTCGTGAACTTAAAGGAAAAATAATGGTTTTAATTTGGAACATAACGGATTCATGAAATATTCTGGAACATGAAAAAATAAATAAAATCAATATGTAATTTAGCTTCATCATTATCAAAGTTAGAGTAACTTTGTAGTGGTGCGTGAGGTTAACCTTTTTTTTTTTGTGTTCAGAATCGGAAATTTCCAATTGCGTTTTACTTTTCAGATATCAAGGATCAAATTTGGTCTGAGAAACTTCGAAAATCTCCAAGTGTAAGACAAGCGATGGATACATGTTTATAAAAATATAGTGATAGAAATAGGTTTAAAAACATCACACAGCTTTCGCTTACTACACTACTTTGAGTAGAATCTGCTTCCTCATTACAAAAGTTGGGGAAGCCTTTTATTTATGCGGGAGGTTTTAAAAAAGTATTTGTGCTCAGAATCTAAAATTTTCAATGCTGTTATACGTTTCAGACATTTACAATTAAATATCGTTCTGTGTCTTTCTGTATGTACTGAAATACGATCTATCGGGCATATAATCTAATAATGTTTATGCAATTTTCATGGTTTATGCAAGTCGGTGGCTAGATGGTACTATATCAATTTTCATCCAATATTTTTGCTTATGAACGTGAAAATGTATTTTCTTAGAAAACAAAGAACAAAGAAGAGAAAGGATATATATATGTATATATATTAAGTGAATATTCATAAATTTTGAAATTCATAATTTGAAGTATTTACTTATATACATATATAACATATGATAGTAACCAAATGATTTATTTGTGATTGTTTATTTTAACGTTCAAGCAACTCGTTTTTCTTCTTGAAGTACAAAATAGTAAGCGGTAATATTCCACAGTTTTTTCTAACCAGCCATAGTTAAAAGTAAGACTTAGGTCTTAATAAATTTTAAGTATGTATAGTTTTTCTTTTCATGTATTTTTTAAACTTCACTCATATTTTTATATTCCACCTAAATTTATTTTCTGTTCTAACTGTTGGAAAATGTGTTCGTTAACACTAAACAAACAAAACATTGAATTAGATCATAGATCTTTGTTCAATTAATTACAAATATTTTTTAATTAATCACAAATTGTCAAATACGTATTTCGCAAATGCGGAACTTTTTATATCAGCGGATGGTAAAAATTTTGTAATTGATTCTCAAATGAAAAAATATAGACCCTGAAATATGGATGATGTATCCAATGAAATTGGTGAGGAAGAAATACTGACCTCACTTGGCATACTTTTTTAAATATATTTACTTTATTTTGGAAAATAAAAATTTAATGTTATTTTACTTGATTGAATATGTTTTAAGAAGATCTGAATTTTCATGGTACAATTTCTACACAACATTTATTCATCTAAATAGTTCGCAAACATAAATAATTTCTATGATTCACAAGCAAAATCTTAATTCACAAGATCTCTTATAGAGCATAAAAATATAATAGGTAATTATAGACTTAAAGGTGTATTTAAGTTATTTAAAGGTAATATATATTTCATTATTTATATTTTGTAAATTTTTCTATGAGCAAGAAAATAAATATGTAATTAAGAGGAACGAGAATACTGACTTTTAATGAAACGGACGCTTTTTAAGTTGAATTTTTGTTGTTGAGGAATCGAAGATTTTTGTTACTATTACATCGTTAACCGTTTACCAAAGAGAGGAATTATGATTTATTTGTTTTTATTTCCAGTATCCATAACTATTTTTTAATTGAATTGTCAACATTTCATTGAACCAATAACTTCAAAGCTCTTTATAGCTCAATAACAAAAAACATGCGAAAAACATTTTAGATAAGTTTCTTTGCCAAAAATAATTTAAAATCAAATGAATTTGAAAATATCGACTTTCGATCTGGATCTTCTAAATCAAAGATTGAGGTTTAAAACTGTAAAAATTCTAGATGTCATCACATTTTGTTTCCGTTATTATTTACTGCAAATGGCAATCAATTTTTATACAATTTGTAATTGTAACAAATCATCAATTGTTTTAATTATTTATTCGGTTTTGAAAATGGTAAAAATCTGGATGTCATGCAAATATTGAATATTCTATTGCTATTTGATTAGAACAGACCTAATTAAGAGACTCACCTCTCAACTCCTTTCCGTCGGGAGTGCACTTTCCCTTGTTGGCGAGGCAGTTGAAGTACCTCTTGTAGAGTCTTTCGTTGTTGAGGATCTCATCAAGGTCGATGTTGTCGTACTTGGTGGTGTACTTGTCACCTGGGCGAGCGACTGCCACGGCTACGAACAGAGCAAGTACCAGGACAACCTTCATCTTTGTTGTGAAGTCGAAGCGAGTTGCTATTGGTATCTCTCTCGCTGTTTTATACTCCCTCTTATCCCCACCCTTATGCCTGAAGGCACTAGTGTTCCTTAGGTACTTTTGGTACTAGAAATGTACTAGCCCTTCGTACGAGCAAGTGTACAACGGAGTATCACCGAATGTGCCGGGCTATGCAGTTAATGAGACAATGCTAATCAGGAGAAGTTGGTGCAACGAACCCCTTTACGCAATCTTTCTTGTAGCCTGTAAGGAAATGTGACTCAGAGTTTGGCATTTATAGTAGTATTTGAAGTCTTCCTAGTTTGGTAAGGTGAAACGCGTATAAGGAGACAATGGTCTGTTGTCTAGAGTTTTTCTTCCTAATCCTTGGAGATGCCAATCCTTGTACTTTCGAGCTAATCCCAGCTTATCAAATCATTTGCCATAGAAAATTTAAGTTATCCTTTTTCCACCCAGTTATCTTTTAACTTGATTCCAAAATCGTATTATGAAATTAATTATTTAAATTAACAGTTGAACTTATCGTAAAATATTAACTAGATTAGTTATTCCGTTGTAACAACTCTAGTAAAATATTATACATAAAATAATTGGTCAGTTAATCATAATTAATTATTGATCAAATAAATTAATTACACCTGACCGAAGTCCACCTAGTAAGAAAAAGTGTGCAGTTATTTACAAAGTGAGGTTACAGACGCGGGGTCAGCAATTTCAATGAAATATGTTTTTGGTTATACTAGGTCGAAAAATATTAGAACCACGTCTGGAAGTTCTTGCCAAAGCACCAAAGGAGTCGAAAAAAAAAATTATAAAATATTAACATTTTTTTTATATTATTGTTTTATTTTTTAGAAGTGCCTGGATTTCCATGTTGTAATATATCAGCTGATTATTTTTATTTTTATTTTTTTAAATTAAGAAAACAATATCGCTCTTTTTTTTTTTTTTTTATATATATGTTCCTATCTTAGATATATTTTAAAGTCTTCCCGAGCCTTTCATAGTTATGTTTATCTTTATTTCTTGACTTTAAATACGGGGTACTGTGACAAATTGTAATATTTCTGATTGAAGTGTTTCAAATTGGAAAAAAAAAAATCGGGATGGTGGGGCTCACCTCTACCCTGATAATTTTCTTAGGACTTTTCTTAACTTAAAATTTACGTTACTTCTATATTTTACCATCGCCGAGGGTCGGGCGGAAACGTAATCGTATTTAATTCTCCATTTGTTAAATATTTTTAAGAACCATAGAATTTTATTATTCTTCTGTTTATGAATTCAGTTATGCTGGACAAATTTACGAAGGTGTGTAGTTTATCGAATTTTTCTTTTTCAAATGATGTGTTTTTAGCTATTCTTATTAAAATTCCATTTTGGAATCGCTGAAATCTCTGGCTTGTATTATGTGAAATGTGGAACAATAGAGGAGCACCATAAAGAAGGGATGGAGAAGAATGCTTTTGTAGATGAGTAATTTTAATCTAAGACTGAGGTTTGAGGTTGTGAGAAGGTGACTGAATTTGTAGGATTTTTGTCTTTAAATTTTATTTCGAGATAGACTAAATTATTTGATATTTTATTGTATGAATCGCCAACTTGAAATTTTTTCTTGTTTTTTTTAAACGAAAATATTATACAATCGGTTTTTGTTGAATTTACTTGTATATTTAACAATTTATTTATTTATAACAATGGGGGTTCCTCAACTTCTTACGGGTCATTTTATCCCTTACAAAATATTTATACTACATCAGATAAAATTTAACAATAATTTGAAAGCACAAAATATTTAAAACATTGAAATTTCCAACGAAAGAGTCAGCAAAATTTAAATTTGTTTGCATAGGTGCGTTATTTGAAGAAATGTAAACAATTTTTTTGCCAATTCGGTGGTGATTTTGAAAATTTCAGTTATATATTTAACAATTATATATGATATTGCAGGTCTGTTGTTGTTTTAATGCTTTTGTAGCGTTCATACTGCTGCTGTATATAGCAATGTTGAAATGTTTGCCAATTATTTCAGCATTGTAAATGTTGCACAGAGTTGTTGAAAGGACCGCACCTTGAGGTACTCCACCTGTCAAAGTTATTGTATTATAGTAATTATGAATAACAAGTGCAATCAGATAAGTACAGTACTTCGGCCAATAAGGGACGATTTCAAAATAGAGCACAACTGTTCTGGGCATTGCAAACATTTCAGTTTTTGAATTAGAATAGAGTGCGCAACGGAAACAAAGGCCTTTTTAGCAGTAAATCGAGATCATCGCAGTGGCAGCGTTACATTCCAGTTTTTGGGTAATTTGGTTTTGCACTTTTGCTAAAGGATGCTCTGCATAGCTGAGGCCGAAATCCAGTTTGTTGGCCAGGTACTACGGAATGTTCCTGACAAAAGTCTTGGTGATATTTTAAGATTATTTTTCGAAGACTTTGGAGATATGATGTAACAAACTTATTGGACGATAATGCTCAGGTTTATCTCCTTGTTTTCCAGGTTTTAGCAACGGATATAATATAACATGTTTCAAAGATTCAGCACCATATCTGAGCCTAATACAACTGTTTTATAAGTGACATAGATATATTGAACCTTTTTCCATTTGCTCATTGTATTAATTGAATTCAAATTTATAATAAATCATAAAAAACAAAATATGCTACTAATGAAGTAAGCCAAGTTAATTTTTGTAACTAAGCAGAAATTCGAATTCGCTGTTAACGTCATTTTAAACTATTAAATTCCAATTTGTTTAAAATCAATAAATATTAAAGTTTATACTTGAAGTTATAGGAAACATTTTTTATGCCGTTTATCCAATCATAATTCCGCCGAACTTTCTTCTAATTCAACGTTTTTACAACCGTGGGGAAACTGAATTATTCCTGTTCCAAACCATATAAACAAGTTTTAAATTATATGCCTTTATAATAATAATAAAAAAACTTTTTATTGTATATCTCCAGTTTCAATTTGCTTATGGAGGTCTGGTTTATGACAATTTCCCTTAGTTCATTGGACCATATTATCGTGGTAATTTTCATCTGAAATGATGCAGTAATGTTGATATTATTACAATTTTCATGATTTATTAAACGATTTTTTTTCTTCTAAAATTGACGGGTACTGAAACTATGATTACATGCACATATCATATAATCTGAAAATGAAAATAAAATTTGTTTTGACATATTCTTCACATGAAATCCATTTAATAGAAGAAAAAATATTGAGAAAATGTTTTTCGTTTTTCAATTACAGTGAGAACGTTTTACAATTACAGTGCGATAACAAAACAACAACAAACAATCCATTTATTCATCAGGTCCATAAACAAAATTTATTTCAAGCCTAAGTAGAGTTTGTCTTTGTTAAAAACATTTGAAGAAAAATAACTTGTTTTTTAAATATTCATCATCTAAGGAATTCATTCATGTAGTATAAAATTAACAACTAAAAGTTCTTAATCCTCATTTTCATTTTCATGAAAATAATTTAACCAATTGGGAGTGAGGGGGACAGTTTAATATTATTATTTTTTTTAAAAAACGTTAATTTATAACATGGACGTATTACCTTAAATTGGCATTAACGTCCACTTGCTAATGAAAACTGCATTTGGAAGCAATATTAAAACATTCGGAAATCCAAGGAAGAAATCCCTACCTCCGAATAGTAGAAATTTTATTCTGAATAAGCAATATTTTCAAGAAATGGAATAGCTATTTTATTTCAGAAATCACAGGGCAAATGAAAATCCCCTTGGCACAAGACAGAGGGAATTAAAACCATCTTAAAGTAATTGCGTGTTATTATTATTTTTTATTTTTTTATTGAATAATATAACATTCTATCACGCTTCATGATATACATTATTCAGGAAAAAATATTGAATTATACAGTTACCTAAATTATTTCCATGGAAAGACGAATATTAGGGCTAAGAACATTTAGGTAATCTACTTCCCACGGTAGAGGAAAAATAAGAAAATAGTGTAAAAACATAGTAGAATTGCAGCATTAAGACTTACGAGGATAAATTCTGACAAAAATACTACATTTTAATAAGCAAAAAGTGTAATTTTTTTATTAATTTGCTTCAATACATTCTCATGTCATAAAGAAACAAGAAGCCTTGGTTATTTTGTAATATTTAAAAAAGAACATAGATATTTTGTGGTGACCAAATACTAAATCAAAATTTTTTTTTACATATGTAGAGTTCGTTCGCGTCTTATTCCAAAACAAACCTGAACTTAAGTAATATGAAGCTAAAAGTTGTTGAACAATGACGTTATTCTAATAGCGCGTGTTAGAAAATATTAATTCTAAAACCATCAAGCCAAAAAGGTTCCAACAAAATATATTTCAAAATATATTTTACAATACACTTTTTACACACACGTTTTCCTAATAGCTGAAAATATATGACAACAATATAAATATACATCAATAGTTCTTACTATCACATGAAAGTGGGTGGTCCAGCACGAGCCTGAAATCGTCTTCGAATTCATCCTTCACTTGCAGGGGTTCACTATTACCAGGACCGTAGACGCTTATGACTGCGATCTTTCCGCCAAAACTATCCAGATCTACACGGATAATCCTCTCCGATATTTCCTCACAATATGTGAGCTTTTCTTTGAGGTGTTTCTTTATCAGAACCGAAATACCTGACTTGGGTCGCACGTCTCTTCCCCCACCACTCCAGATATGCACATATTCACCCGATATCTCTTGTCCCTTTCCTTTCAATTTAATCTCTGTGAGCACGACCATATCCAATCCTGTTCTCTTCACTTTTTTTTTTTTTTATCCAGAGCACGTGGTATACTTACCGGACGCAATCACATTCATTCCCTCTTCATCAGACACTTTCCTGAAGGATGGTTGGCAATCTTTTGCTTCAATCATCCATTTTTCTATGGTTAACTCGGTTATTTTTCGTGATATTTCGTTATTTCTCCACTTTATTTTATCA